AGGGCCCCCCCGCCTCTCCCGCGCCCCCCGCTCGCCGCGATTCCCTCGCCCGCGAAGCTTTACCCGCCGGCTCCTGGATGTGTCGCGCTCCCCGCGGACATGGCGACCGGCTCGGCTCAACCACCCGCCAACTATCCCACAACCACCCTCCCGTCACTTCCGCCCCTAACGCCCTTACGCACAGTCTCTTCCGGTCGTGAGGCCAAGAAGTTCCGGTTAAAACGTCTATTCCGATTGGACTCTCGCGGATCTCCTGGCGTCTGGCATTAGCCGAGGCTGGTAGGGTGTGACCTTCTTGTCGGGCCTTGCCCCTGAGAAAGATGGTTACTGATCCTCGCATTAAAGCGGGATTAGCGCGGGGAGAATCTGTCTTTGTTGTGGGCAAATTGGTAACCTACACGATAATACGCACGAGTCTGGGAATTACGCCGATTTCCCCCCAAATTGAGCTGTATTCTTAGGGGATCCCAGCCGCTAGTGGGGAAGAGCTTTCTCGAGGTCTTTTGCCCACTTCACGTTTCAGTTACCTTATTTAGGAAACGGAAAATGATTCGTCCTAAAGGTCATTGGAAGAATTTATGGTTTTTTGTGTTTTGGTTTTTTGTTTGTTTCTTTTCCGTAAGCCAAGCACTGTTTTAAGAGGAGGACATAGATAAAGCGGAAAGCTACGGGCCCTGCCTTTCTAGTACAATGTGGCGGGCAGGCACGCAAACAGATGCGTATGGCGAGGTGGTATCATCAACTGTGAAGAAGGTGAAGTGCTCGACTTGAAGGCGCTTACACTCAAGTATTTGAAAGAAATGGAAGCTGAACTTCTGAGTCGGGACGGAGAAGTGGTAATAGGTTATGAAACCCTGTTCTGCCCTTAAGGTTGAACTGGCCTGAGTGTGGGGGCCAGATCCTGAAAGGCCTTGAAGGCCAACTGAGAAGTCAGAGTTGATGTTGGAAGCCAGAGATTTCCAACATGGGGGTACCTTGGAGCTGCAAGGAGTCTCTAGCTCACATAAATATAATACAGCACTATTTTTCAAATAAGTTTGCATTCTTATAGGATTAATAGAATACAAATTCATTTAAAAAGTCAAATTTATAGTGTTTCCCTTTCAGCGTTTAATAAGTTTCCCCTTCGTACACATGCCACCAATATTGGATGTGAAATATATATTTCTGCATTCTTTTCTGTTGCACTGATCTATTTGCTTTGCTATAGTGTCTTTATTACAGTAATTCCATGTGTATGTATATTTTTTAAATATGTTTTTATTTATTTTAGAGAGAGGAATAGAGAGGGAGAGAGAGAGATAGAAACATCATCTATAAGAAAGAAACATCAATGGGCTTTCTGCTGCACACCCCCTACTTGGGATCCAGCCCTCAACCCAGGCATGTGCCCTGAGCAGGAATCCAACCAGCCAGTTCCTGGTGCATGGGATGATGCTCAACCAACTGCGCCACACCAGCTGGGCCCGTGTATATTTTAATATCTGTTCGGGCAAGCCGATTCTCATTCTACATTTTCTGCATACAGGTGTATTTTTTCCAAGTGAATTTTATTTATTTTTAAAATAACTATATGAATTTCAAATGTACAACATAATTCAATATCTGTGTACTGTACTGCATGTTCACCACCAAAAAGTCTAGTTTCCTTCCATTGCCATATATTTGACCCCTTTACTCAATTTGTCCTGCCCCTACCCCCCCAAGTGAATTTTAGATTAAACAACATTGTTTTCCCTTTGCCTTGTCTCCCCAAAACACAGGGCTGTTGGGATTCTGATTGTAATTCATGAACCATAAAATCTTCCCTTTTTAAAAGGGTACTTTAAGTGTACAATTTAGTGCCTTTTTGTGTATTCACAAAGTTGTGCCGCCATGACCAGTATCTAATTCCAGATCATTTTCATCACCCCTAAAGCAATCCTGCACCCATTAACAGTTACTTTCCATTTTCCTCTCCTGTCAGCCACCATCAACCACTAATCTACTTTCTGTCTCCATGGGTTTGCTGATTCTGGGCATTTCATATAAATGGAATCATATATGATCTTTGTGTCTGGCTTCTTATAATGTTTTCAAGGTATCAGTGCTTTGTAGTTTTCAGTTTGCCAATAATGCACACCTTTTTGTCAGATTTATCCCTAAGATTTTTCTTTTTGATGCTCTGCCACTTTTTTAAATACACGTATATATTTTTATTGATTTCAGAGAGGAAGGGAGAGGGAGAGAGAGAGAAACATCAATGATGAGAGAGAAACATTGACTGCTGCCTCCTGCACGCCCCACACTGGGGATTGAGCCTGCAACCTGGGCATGTGCCCTCACTGGGAATCCAACCGTGACCTCCTGGTTCATAGGTCAACGCTCAACTACTGAGCCATGCCAGCCGGGCTGGACTAGATTATCTTAAAGATCCTACCATCCATCTCAAAAGTTTATTATATTTTATGAGGTGAGGGACCTTATTTTATTAATTTTTATCTTCCCACCATCTAGCACAGTGCCTAGCACATAGTAACAGTTTGGGAAATGCTGTGATTAACACACGAATGAATAAATAATGCGAAGGAGGGAAGGAAGGGAGGGAGGGAGGAAAGATCAATAAATGAACCAGCAAAATTCTAGAAAAGTGCAAGGGCCCAAAGTGAAGTTCTTTGACTCGGCCAGCTGGTGGCATCACTTCTCTACATAACCGCAGGGCGGGTGTTGATAGAGCAAGGGAAAGGATTTAGATTAGAAATGAATAAAGGTAAAAAAAGAAATGATCACAGGACCAGATATTGCAAATGGATAGCAGAATTCTGACCCAGCTTCTTTTCTTCAAGCCAAGAGAAAGTAAGTCTGATGCATTAAGCAGACACCTTCGCTGCTAGATTGGCAAGGTGATGCTTGGATGGGTGGCCAGGAGGTAACTCATGGGACTCATCTGAACTTGGGCTGGGCCCTCCCCTTCTACCACCCCCTTCACATGTATCCCTTGCTGAAAAACCCAAACATCCTGGCACCATCTGGATCTTCTTACCTTTGGGTCTCTTCTGTAAGGTTCATTAAACCCACTGCTGCCTGGCCAGCATGACTCAGTAGTTGTCATGGTTTGATTCCCAGTCAGGGCACATGCCCAGGTTGCGAGCTTGATCACCAGTTTGGGGGGGCGGGGGGGGGACAGGAGGCAGCCAATCAATGATTCTCTGTCATCATTGATGTTTCTATCTCTCTTTCCTGCTCCCTTCCTCTCTGAAGTCAATAAAAAGATATATTTTAAAAAACCCACTGCTGATTTATCGTCCTGAAGGGCCCTTCTCCTCCCCCAGCACGCCAAGGAAACTGAACATCAAACATTGTAATTAGTTGGCAGAGGGCAGGAAGGTGTTGAATATTCTGGAATCCTTGAAAAAGCCTCACTCTTCTATCTACCCACCTCCCACCTCTGTTTTCCCATCACAGCAAGTTGTGCAAAGGGTAGGGATATGGGCACAAAATGGGAGGCCCCAATGAAGCATGTTTTCCGGTTAGGACTGAGATCATGGGGAGACAGGATGAGGTGTGGTGAGGGTGTATCTCAGGATCCATCTCTGAAATAGCGTTTGGGGGTTGGAGAAGAGTGGGAGATGCTGTTGACTTCCGGCTCCACGGACGAGAGCAGGAAAGGTGCACAGGCAGTGGAGGGAGGGAGGTTCGCAGGACTACTGTACTTCATACGCAGAAGCAGGCACAGAAGGGAGGGCATGCCCGGTCCACTCAGGGCCTCTCCGGCTGTGTTCCCAGTCGGGAGGAAACAGGAAGCTGTGACTTCTCCTCTTTCCCTCCCTGCCCTTAGCCTCAAGGTCACTTGCTGCTGCAGTGAATTAAACCTGTGTTTTAGTTGGCACGGTTCCCTGGGCTTGGTGATAATTGCTCAGTACCCTGCTCCCTGGTGCCACAAACACCCCAAACTTTTCCTTTAAAATTATAATCATTAGTGCAAATAGCAACGTACAAAGTGCTTTGTTTTTACATGTATTATCTAATTTCATCACACCGATCTTTTTTTAAAAAAATATATATTTTTATTGATTTCAGAGAGGAAGGGAGAGGGAGAGAAAGATAGAAACATCAGTGATGAGAGAGAATCATTGATCGGCTGCCTCCTGCACACCTCCTACTGGGGATCGAGCCCGCAACCCAGGCATGTGCCCTTGACCGGAATTGAGCCCATGACCCTTCAGTCCACAGGCCAACGCTCTATCCGCTGAGCCAAGCCAGCTAGGGCTACACCGATCTTTTGAAGCAGAGACTTTTATCTGAAAATTTTAAGCAAGGCAACTGAGGCTCGGGGGAGTAAAGTGACTTACCCAAAGTCACGCAGCGAGTGAGTAGCAGATCTGGGACTCCAGAACCCCTGCTTGCTCTCCCTCCCTCCCTCCCTCCCTCCCTCCCTCTCCCTCTCTCTCCCTCTCTCTCCCTGACACCCATTCTGATCTCCTGCCATATGCCCCCTCCAGGTCCCTTCCCCCAGGCTCCAAGGAAGCACTTTCTGCAGAGAAGGGGGCCCCTGCACACTGGCAGGAAGAGGGTCTGCAGTTTGCTTCCTGTCATCCCTGAGATGGGGTGTCTCTGGTTCTCTCCCTGGGTCTGGCTTGGGTCTGATTTTCATGGTGGAGTAATTCCCCTTTCTCTCCTCTCTACTGCACAGAGCCCTTCCTACACAGATACACACCACACACACATGCGCACACCCCCCATGTCCGGCCCTCTCTCATCCTGCCCCACCCACCACCTATCATGACCAACAGGGACCAGGGACTGGTGGGTTGTCCCATCCACACCCCGCCCTCGGAGGGCTGGAGCCTCCCGCTGAGAGGCCCTGCCAGTCTGGCGCTAAGCGGGCTGCCTTCGCTGCTCAGCACTGTGGCCTCTGATGCCCTGAGATGCCCACACCCAATCTCTCTGCCCCTCTGCCCGTTTTCTGGCTCAATACCTCTGCCGGCGGTGTGCTGAGTGTGGACGATACTGCGCTGCCTGTTGAATTCCCAGCCCTGAGGGTTGTGCTTGCCCTGCCCTATGGGCTTGTAGGGGCCTTTGGATTTATGGGCAACTTGGCCTTGCTGTGGGTGCTGGGTAACTGCTCGGCGAGCCCCTTGCCCACCATCTGACACTTTTGTCTTCAACCTGGCTCTGGCAGACCTGGGGCTGGCACTCACTCTCCCCTTCTGGGCGGCTGAGTCGGCACTGGGCTTCCACTGGCCCTTTGGAGGTGCCCTCTGCAAGATGTTCCTCACGGCTACTGTCTTCAACATCTACGCCAGCATCTTCCTCATCACGGCGCTGAGTGTTGCCCGATACTGGGTGGTGGCCATGGCTGCAGGACCAGGCACCCCTCTTCCCCTCTTCTGGGCCCGCACGGCCACCCTGGCAGTGTGGGTGGCAGCTGCCCTGTTGGCAGTGCCCACGGCAGTCTTTGGGGCAGAGGGGGAGGTGTGGGGCGTGCGTCTCTGCCTGCTGCGCTTCCCCAGCAGGTATTGGCTGGGGGCCTACCAGCTGCAGAGGGTGGTGCTGGCCTTCATGGTGCCCCTGGGTATCATCACCACCAGCTACTAGCAGGGTCGTAGCCCGCTCCGTCTGCATCCTGGTGGCCTCCTTCTTCCTCTGCTGGTTCCCCAACCACATGATCACTCTCTGGAGTGTCCTTGTGAATTTTGACCTGGTTCCCTGGGACAGCACTTTCTCTGCCGTCCATACCCACGTCTCCCCTGTCACCATCTGCTTGGCACACAGCAACAGCTGCCTCAACCCCGTGCTGTACTGTCTCCTGCGGCAGGAGTCCCGGCAGGCCCTGGCAGGCACCTTCAGGGATCTCCGAGCGCGGCTGTGGCCCCAGAACCGGGGTGAAGCAGGGGGCCTTAGAGGAGGTAGGCAGGCGGTGAGTGGAGAGCACCCCCAGGAGAGTGGCCCTTCTACCATGCTCACCAACGTGGACAAAGGAACACCTGGGTGAAGGTACAAACTACGCACCCTCTTTCTGGAGGGCGGGCCTGTCTGCCAGGCCGACATGCCCTCGGGGAAAGTCTTATCTTCAATTATTCTGGGTGTGGTGGCATGCAGCGGCCCAGGCCCAGGTCAGGGCTGGTAGGACAAAGCTTATGCCTCCATTTGGAGGTGGGAAAGAAGAGGATCTAAAAATAAACATCTGGACCATCCAGAAGTGATCTTGACTCTTTATCCCAATTCCACCTTCAGTTCAGTGTGGACAAAAGCATTACTTGTCCCACTTCTGCCTTCTGTGAGAATTCCCAGGGAAATTTCCCTAAGGGTCCTAGACTCATGGATCAGGAGCCAGTGCCTAGCCTCTCCCCCTGCCTGTCCTTCCTGCTCTCCATCTCAAACGGATGCACCCTTGTTCTTCTCTGGTGCCAGGACCGAAAATGCCCTCCTCCCCTGGGCATCTCCATCTTCTTACCCTCAGCGGTACCCACGGAAACTCGATGTCTGCAAAAGCCTCAGCTGCAAAAGCTGTCGTTCCCATGTGGGGAGATGCCACCTGTGGAATCTTGCTGGATCCCTGGCACCAGCCACCCCCCGTGTAAAACTCTGGCGTTGGCTGGGAGTCCGTGTGGGTCTCTCCTTAAAGCAGGATTTAGAGGGAGAAGTGAAGATAACGACAAGTCAAGGATGTGGGTGAGGCGCGGTGAGGCGAGCTGCAGAATGGGGGTGGGAGAGGAGGCTGGAGGTGGGCTGGAGAAGTGGGAAGCATGGTTCGGGGGTGCTAATCTTCCTCCCTATCCCAGAGGCTTCACTGAGTCAGAGCACCTGGATTCACATCCTAGCTCCCAGGGAGCTCGTTAAGTTCCTTTCTTTCTCTGTACCCGTTTTCTCATCTGTAAGATGGGTTGCTTCCTGATTGTTGGCTATTATTCTTACACTCTGTGTAAAATGGAGTCAGAGAAGGACAAGGAAACAGTGAGGAGGCAGCTGGGAGATGGGGCTGGAGGGCCATAGAGGTCTTATCTGGAATGATTTAAAAAAAAATACATTCCTTTATTGATTTCAGAGAGGAAGGGAGGAGAGAGAGATAGAAACATCAACGATGAGAGAGAATCATTGATCGGCTGCCTCCTGTACACCCCCTACTGGGGATCGAGCCCGCAACCCAGGCATGTGCCCTTGGCCGGAATCGAACCTGGGACCCTTCAGTCCGCAGGCCGACGCTCTATCCACTGAGCCAAGCCGGCCAGGGCCTGGAATGATTTTTACATGCTCTGGAGTAAAATGAAAATTTTATGTAAGAACTGAGTGAGGGGTTGGCTCCTCCAGCCCCTTTTGAAGGTGTTCTTTGGGGCAGGGGGTTCCCCCTTGGTTTCCAGATCCACAGAGACCCAAGACCCAGCAATGATAAAGGTTGGCAATCACAAGGGACTTTCTGGGGGGCAGCCCCTGAAAAGGGAGGTGGCAGAAAGAAGATGGGGTGGAGCTCCCATTTCCATTTCCCCCACCCCAAGCTCTGGCATGTCTCACAACCCTAACAACTCTGGCCACTCAAGGTCCCACAACAGCCAGGAGCAGCGCCTGTGTGTGGAGCCCCTCTGGCAAGGGCACCACAGGGCCTGCAGGCGCCCCGGCACCAGCTCCATCCGGTTGCCGAGGAGGCTGTAAACAACCACCCAATTCACCACATGTTAAAAGCAATACTGAATAGATTTAATTAGCCTCTTGTTTAATTTCCTCTTTTTGATAATGTTTAAACTGGTTCTAAAACTCCAGGTCTGTTCCCAGCCGATTCAGGATGGGAAATCCTTACCCACCTAAGCACCCTTTTGCCACCCCACCCCTCAGCTCCTCCAATGACCCTACCTCTGCTGGACTCCGGATATTGGCTCCTGTAGGGGCCTCTGCTTTATGGGACCCAGGGGTAAATATTGACAAAGTCTAAACAGGTCCAATCCAGAGATGAATGCACGTAGGCTTCCCCTTAGGAGGGGTGGGGAGGCAGGAGAGGGCACAGCAACGGAGGCTGGCTGGGCAGCTCCTCTCGAATGGAAAGGCATTGTTTTGGCAAATATCTGGGCCCTGGCTCCTTGTAGCACAAACAGAGAACTTCGAAACTGCAGGAGAGACAGTTAAAACCGAGTTTCCAAAAATGGGGCAACAGGACATCTTGTTTCAAAGAATGCGGGGGTTTTGGTCAGGGGGGGGCGGTCACAGGAGGGGCAGCGCTGCCAGGAATAGAGCTTGGGCTTTACACGCACTCGGGGCCTGCCCAGCATCCTTCACTGGGTCGCTGTGAACACGTGGGTCTTCGGATGCAACCTAACACCCTCCTCCTACCCAGCACTAGTCTTCCTCTCCCCTCTCCACCTTTTTACAGCCTTGGGTCCCAGCTGACACAGCAGTGGGCTGCTGAGCCACGTGTCAGGGTTTGAAACCTGGAGCTTTGATATTTTAGGCAGAGTTGTGGAGGGGGAAGTGAAGGCCTGCAGCTGGGCCTGCCACCTAGATTTCCATGTCGGTAAAATGACAGCAATTCCTCCTGCAGACTCCGTAATGGATGAGCAAGTACCTCGTAGATGAGCATCACAGGAGTGGAGGGTGCCGGCTGCTCCGCCAAGCCCGCCCTCCCCCGACCATGGGATTCCAATTCCTCTTTCTAGCTGAGGTCTTGGGCCCCACTCTTCTCATCTCACCCCATCAGCTCCTACAGACATATGTGCACCTATTGCAGCATTTCTACAACTCTAGACGCGCCTCCCCCCACAGCCCCACAGTAGGGTATTATCCGGAAACAGGAAGTAAAATTAATCAAAACAAGAACTGAAATTAACCTGATGTCTCACTGCCTCTCAGAGAGCAAAGGAGAGCTCCTCTGAGGGGACCATCTGGAAGAGGGTGTCCAGGGCTCTGACACGTGAAGAACCAGGGCAGCGTGGTGGCCGAACCCGAAAACAAAGGACACTGAAGAGGGGCTCAGAGGAACTGTGCCCAAAGGGAGGGGCGGGGGCCAGAGGCCGAGGCCGTTTCTGAGCACAGCATGCAAATGAGATGAAAACAAGTCTTCTAATATTGGAATCCCCAATCCTTGTTTGTGAATATCAGTAACGACAACAGAAAAAGGAGGTAGCAGTTCCTTTTGTTTGGGCCACCTTGCCCCTCCCGGGGAGGAAAGGCCCCTTTCCGAGGGACACAGGCCACTCCCTGGCTCTCCCCTCAGCAGCACCATCCGAACCTCAGACATTCAGAGACAGCACTTCATGGGGTTCCAGGTCTTTAATTTTCCTTTCTTTACCTTTTATCGTTTTTTTGTTTCTGTTTTGTTGTTTTTTTACACAATCAAATTGGTAGAAAAATGGTTGGCGCTGGTGGGCATTTGGGGGTTCATTGAAAATCCCCCCCTAATTCAGGCGGAGGTTTCAGGTCATGGTTGGTGAGCTGGGGGATAGGTCAGGGTTCATAGAGATTTCCCAACTCACCCTAGAACTCTGTTTCCAAATGGCTGTGGAAGAGGTCAGACTAGTTCCCCCATTGCTATGGATGAGGGTGAAGTCATTGTTCCCCCCACCCCGCAAGTTCTTCAGAGATGTGGAGATAGAAGGCTGCAATTTCTAATTGCCTACAATCTTCTCTTAAAAATATAAAACACGTGCAGTTGGCTTTGGTACAAAAAAAAAAAAGAAAACAAAAAGACATTCTGGTCCCTGTGGGTTTCCCCGTCACCCCCAACAGACCATGATGGCCACCTCAACCTCCATTCCATCCGCTCTAGGAAGCCAGGTTGACTCCCTGGGGTTCCACTGAGGACGGAGAGAAGAGAGAACAGCAGTAAGAGGTTGAGGGGAAAGGGATATGGCCCTGCCCATAGCCCTTCTTGAAGGGGCAGTCGGGTCCTACAGCTGCAGCCTCTCCTCAAAGGCGATGTTGCTGGGAGGGTGGCAGGGCTGGAATCCGGCAGCTGCATGGTTACGTCTGAATAAACCCCAGTAGTGTTAAAGGACAAGGCCCCTTGTTCCCTATGGCTTGGCTCCCATGTCCCTGGTCCTCTAAATCCCCTTTCTCCCTCCATAACTAATAAACAATAAATAAATAAACTTTCCTAAAGTAGAGGGAAGAAGGCATGAAGAATTGGCATCTGTGGTGTACTTTCTGGATGCCACCAGGGGGCACTGTGGCCTAACTCCCCCCCAGCTTCCTAAATGGCCCCAGGTCTCCAAGGATCCCAAGAGCTGGCAAGGACAATCAGCAGTTCAAGTGTTCCCTGCTCACTGGCAGGTTGGAGTCCCCAGGGTTTGCCACCCTCAGTAATATTCTTCAGGGGGCACAGGAAGGAGGGCGGGGCCCCCTTAGCTCTCCGGAGCTACAGGCTCCCCATCGCGGCTCTCAGTCTCCTCGGGTATGTCCTGCATTCTGGTGAAATCTGCGGGGGGCAGGGCAAAGTCAGTGCGTGGTCAGGGGCTCCATGAGCACCCACCCTACACTAATGCCCCCCCATCTGTGGGCCGAGGAGCTCTGCGGGCTGTGAGGGATGACCAACGTCTGTGAATCCTTGATGAGGGGAAAACCTCTGTCAACAAAGTAAGCGATGTGCTCACACCTTGGTAGGTACTTCATATACTGGTAAGTATACGAAGATACAATTTGATTAATAAAATAACAAGATATTTTAAGATTGCTATATGAAGTTATAGTAGCTTTGGGTTATTTTGTATTTCCTAAGCCAACTAAAAGAACTTGGAAGTCTGTGACTTTTTTTTTTAACTTAAAAAAAATCTCTTTCTAAAAATAAATAAATAAATTTATTTCTAACCCTGGCTGGGTAGCTCAGTTGGTTAGAGAGCCATCCCAATATGCTAAAGTTGCTGGTTCAGTCCCGGGTCAGGGCACATACAAGAATCAACCAATGAAAGCATAAATAAGTGGATGCTTCTCTCCCTCCCTCCCTTCCTTTCTCTCTCTAATATATATGTATTTCTACTTGAAAAGGCTGGGAATCAAATGACTTACTAGAGAAGGAGTGGCCCCTACATTCTTTGCTTCCTAGAGTTTCACCACTCATTCGCCATCAGACAAAACAGGAAATCCTTGTGTCCTTCCCAAGCGTTACTGTAGACCCCAGTGGTTAGTGAGGGACCTTCCTAAATGTCCCCGTGCTCCAGGACACAGACTCCACGTGGAAAGCACAGCCCAGGGGTCTGAACCCAGGTCGCACCCCACTCTGCCAGGATCTCACCTCGAGGACTATGGGGCGGAGACAGACGGCTGCTTCCTTCCTCCTCGCTGCCAGTGTCAGGGTCGCTGCTGTCTTGTAGCCGCTCCTCGGGGCTGCCCAGCTCCTGCCCCTCTCGATCCTCAAAGGGCCGATGGACAGCGCGGACAGTCACAGGCAAATCCAGGCGGTCATGGCCTCGACTGGGCTGTGGGCCGCGCAAGGAAAGCAGCAGGTCAGGGACTGAGGCGTGTGACAACTGCAGGCCCTGCTCAGCTGGGGCCATGGGCCGTCTGGGCCCCAAGGCTCAATTCTCTCCAGTACCTCCACCACTGACTGACTTCTTTCTGCACCCACTCACTAGTCCTTCGAGTCGGTTGCCCAATTTCATTTGGGCTCAAGTCCCCAATTCCTTTCAGGTTCTCCCATGGGCCCTGAAGTCCACCTCAGGTCAGCTCACGACTCCAAGCTCCCTTACCTGAGGGGGGCTGAAGCTCAAGTACAGGGCATCGCCTGCCGGGAGGCTCCGGCGCCGGGGATCCAGAGGCCTGCGGGCCCAGGGGGCCTCCTGGGGAACGGCGTCGGCTTGGCCCAAGGCGGCCAGCTGCCTGCGAGCCTCTTCAGCCTCCCGCTCCAGCAGGGCCCGGGCCTGCTCACTCTCCCGGAGCCGGGCTTCCAGGCTGCCAGCCTCAGCCGCCCGCTCTTCCCCGAGGCGCCGGCAGCGCCGCAGCTCTTCCTGCAGCAGCGTGTGCTGCCGCTGCAGTAACGCCAGTTCCGTGGCCTGCTTTTCAGGAGCCCCAGGGGTAGCCCCAGCTCTGCCAGCTTCCCCATCCCGAGAGTTGGCTCGGGTCAGCTTCTCCCGTCGCTCCGGGCCCTCGGGGACCCGGGCTTCCATCAACGTATCCTGCTGGGCCACAGCCGCCTGGGTGGAATGGGGACAGATGAGTCTATCAGAAACCCCATTTCTTCTATCCCTCACCCTCACCCCCAGGAACCAGGTCAGGATTCCTGGAGTGTTCCAACTGGGAGAAGGCTTAGAAAGGCCGATTAGGCCCCGGCCAACGTGGCTCAGTTGGTTGAGCATTGTCCCATGCACCGAAGGGTCACCTGTTCGATTCCCAGTCAGGGCACATACTCAGTTTGCGGGTTTGATCCCCGGTCAGGAGGCAACCAATTGATGTTTCTCTCTTTCTCTCTCCCTCTCCCTTCCTCTCTCTCTAAAATCAATAAAAACATATTTAATTTAAAAAAAAAGGCCTATCAGAATGACTCTGTTCACCTGAATGGCAGCTCTGCGCTGGCTCCTCCCCTTCCCCATTCCCGCCCCTGCCCCACTGACCTGTAGGCCATGAAGAAGTCCATAAAGATTGACCAATCGCTGCAACGCTTCCTGAGGAGAGAGGAGAGAGTGGGGACAGGGCTCAAGCTTCAGGATGGGAGAACTGCCCGGAAGTTGGAATAAGTGTGGGTGTGGGGACAGTAAAACTTACAACTTTGAAGTGTAGACTCTCCCCCACCCCCGTCCAAACTGGGCTCCAATTTCTCAAGACTAAGAATATCCTCCCTTCAGTCTCCCATAGCATCCAATCCCCATCTCACCTCCTGGGGAGATCTCAGCTGATTTCCATTTCGATCCTGCAGAAATGGGCAAGGATAGGGAGTCAGCAGGCACACAAGTCCCTGGTGCCTGTCCCCGATAGCTCCGTGTTAGGGATCTATAGGCCAGCTGTCCCTTTCCCATCCTCTAGCCAAGTCCTGACATCTCCTGAGGACCCACCTTCTGGCTGGAGTCTGAGTCGGCTCTGCAGAGCTCGATCGAGCCATTGAAGGTTCTGGCCTCGCCATCTGTTGAGGAGAAAAGGATGGGCTGAGCTCACAGGAAGGACCCTGACAGCACTCGGCCCCTGGTACCACCCCATTCTCTTTAACCCCCCCCCCGGCCCCCCGGTCCCCTGCCCTGGCACTCACTGGCGGTGATTCCAGGACTCATGTTACCACCACTTTCTGCTTCCGTGGGCAGGCCTGGTTCCCGGGTCGAGAGCAGCTCCACTCCAGGCCCCACGAGCAGGTCTTTCAGGCCCTCCACTGAAGGGAAAAAAGAGGTGAGGACAGAGGTACGACAGAACCCTGTGAGGAATGGGAGGCGATGCCATTTGCCCAATACGCTTGGACTACGCAGACATCGAGGGGAATACCCTGCCCATGTGGGCTCCCACTCACACCACCATGTACAAGGCAAAGTTCATGAAAGGAGCCCCAGGGCAGCACAGGTGCACGGAGGATGACAGGTGCCCATCTCTTCCCCGGCCTTTCCCAGCACCGCGCACACAGCAGGCACTCGGGGAGTCTATGGGCTGTGGGGCGGACATCCCTTTTGTCTGCATGCGTCCGGGTCTAGCTGTGTGTCCATAGTCTGTGACAGTGAGTGGACGAGCCGGGACTCTTCCCTGGGCGTTCCCTCACCCTCACGGATGGCATCCTGCAGCAGCCGCTCGCCACGAGGGGACTCGAGGGACTCAGAACGGAAAAGGCCCCTGGGCAGGGTGGGCAGGGGCATCCCACAGCTGCCATTCTCTTCCACCTGGAAATGGGTCATCTCGGCAAACAGCCCGACCTTCTCCTGCAGCAGCTCCACCAGTGCCCGGTCTTTCTGTTGCAGCTCCGCTGTGGACAAGGAACAGGTGAGCACACTAGAGGGCCGAGGGGGCGCCCAGAGAGGGCGCCCAGAGAGCCAGCAGTGGAGGGGCAGCCATCCCAGAGGCAGCCTTAGGGATGACAGGCCAGGGCTGGGCAGAGCAGTAGGACTTAATTTTGATTTTTGGCATGTGTGAAAAAGAAAAAAAACATTTTGAGGGGGAAAGTAACATATACACTTCTGTTTTAAAAACAAAAGTGATAGCCCTGTCTGGGTAGCTCAGTTGGTTAGAGTGTAGTCCCGATACACCAAGGTTGTGGGTTCGATCCCTGGTCAGAGCACATATAAGAATCAATCCATCAATGCATAAACAAGTTGAACAACAAATTGATGTTTCTCTCTCTCTCTCCTTCCCTCCCTCTCTCTCTTCCTCTCTCTCTCTAAAACAGTGGTTCTCAACCTTCCTCATGCCGCGACCCTTTAATACAGTTCCTCATGTTGTGGTGATCCCCAACCATAAAATTATTTTTGTTGCTACTTCATAACTGTAATTTTGCTACTGTTATGAATCGTCATGTAAATATCTGATATGCAGGATGTATTTTCATTGTTACAAATTGAACATAATGAAAGCATAGTGATTAATCACAAAAACAATATGTAATTATATATGTGTTTTCCAATGGTCTTGGGCGACCCCTGTGAAAGGGTTGTTCGACCCCCAAAAGGGTCGCGACCCACAGGTTGAGAACCGCTGCTCTAAAATCAATCAATAAGTAAAATAAAGTAAAAACGGTTGTGGTAGGGACTGAAGGTTGTCCACCAGTTTTCACTCTCCACATCTTCCTTTGGTTAGAGAACGTGTACAAGTTTCATCTGGGCGCATGCTACCCAGTTTGACTACATTTCCCAGCTTGGTTTGCAGCTAGACGTTGCCATATGACTAAATTATGGCCAATGGGTGCACCTTCCAGATCTGTCCTCAAAAGAAATGAGACATATTGCCGACCAGTGTGGCGTGGACCCATGAACCAGGAGGTCATGGTTTGATTCCAGGTCAGGGCACATGCCCAGCTTGCATTCTCGATCCCCATTAGGGGGCGTGCAGGAGGCAGCCAGTCAATGATTCTCATCATTGATGTTTCTATCTCTTTCTCCCTCTCTCTGAAATCAATAAAAACATTTTAAAAAAAGAAATGGATATATGCCCTGGCCAGTGTGGCTCAGTTGATCAAACATCATTCCATGCACCAAAATGTTGCCGGTGTGGTTCGCAGGCAGGGCGCATGCCCAGGTTGCAGGCATGATCCCCAGTTGGGGTGTAAGCAGGAGGAAACTGATTAAAGTTTCTCTCTCACATCGATGTTTCTCTCTCTCTCTCAAATCAATAAATATATTTTTTAAAAATGGATATAAACTCTCCTTGTTCCTTTACTCTTCCCTGCTGGCTGGGATGCAGATCATGCCCTAACTGAAATAAGACCCTATAGTAAAAAGTTACTGTCTCAACCCCCCTTCCCAGAAGCAGCCATAATAATATCTGACTTTTTTGAAATATTACACACACACACACACACACACACACACACACACACACACACACTACATGACCTATCTATCCCCATTATTTTTACACAGATGGTAGATTACACTTTACACTGTTCTAAACCTTGCTCTTTTCACTTAACAGTATGTTTCAGTTATGGATCTACATCAGCCCTCAGACAGCCATCTCATTGTGTGACTGTATCCTAAATTATTTAATGAATTTTGTGCGTGGGACTTACTCTTGATTCGCCGCAGGTAAGCCTCATCCTCTGTCTCAATCAGGGGGAAGTCCTCTCTGGATGGGCATCTGGAAAGGTAACAGGGCGGGCAGGGGTAAGGGAGGAAGCGAGGCTACAGACCGGGAATCACTCTCCCTCCTTCGCAAACGTGTTCTATGCTTCCCTGGTATGACCCATCAGCCGCATGCCCTGGCTCCCTTCACTCCTGACCCGCCCCCTTTCTTAGCACCGGTCCTCTGCATTTAGTGGGATGCATGTCCCTCCCCTAAGATCACCTGGAGAGGCAGCATAGTGCAGAGGGACAACTACAGGCTTTGACCTCAAGCAAATGGGGCTCCAATCCTGGCTCCACTATTTGCCAGGTGATCAACTTTCTATTTCCTCTTTTGGAAAAATGGGAATACTATCTCCCTTATGGGTTTTTGTTAGGATTAAATTCAATAATATAACAGTGTTTTAATAATAGCAGAGGCTCAATGAACTACAATGAATAATATTAATTATAATTTTCACAATTACAACTATTAATACTATTAATAAAGAGGCCACTGTGGATCTACTGTCAATAGAACAGGTATTTTGCACTGTTTTGCTAAAATGGGCAATTTCATAGTTTTGTATGCATTTCTGAAAAATTAGTTCAAAAGTCTAGATTGAAGAAGTTAAAATAATAGGTTGATAGGAGGACAGGAGCTGGCTGGAGGGGGAACAAGAGGAGGGAATGGGGGATATCTATACTAGTGTTAATAATGAAAAAAATAGGTTTATATATTATAAAGTGGAGAAGAATCCATTCTCTGAAAGCTAAAAAAAATTATAAATATCCTAATTGAGTGTAATCTTCAAGAATCAATTTTCAACATTTTACATGCACTTTACTTGACTGACTGCCTCAAATCTAATGTGTGTCCATCAGAAGCTAAAGATTTGCTGCTTTAGCCTAGTTGGTGTGGCTCAGTGGTTGAGCTTCGACCTATGAACCAGGAGGTCATGGTTTGATTCTTGGTCAGAGCACATGCCTGGGTTGCAGGTTTGATCCCCAGTGTGGGGTGTGCAGGAAGCGGCCGATCAATATTTCTCTCTCATCAATGTATCTATCTCCCTCTCCCTTCCTTTCTCTCTTTCTCTCTAAAAAAACACAACAAAAACCCATATTTTTTTAAAAAAAGATTTGCTGCTGTAGCACACTAAACAATTTCCTTCTTGTCTCTCTTGTATGGAGTTTGTTTATGAGACTTGCTCCTCTTATCTCCAGTATCAATGCTTTTATTATCTTCTTTTTCATTCCTTTTTAGACAACAGAGGTAAAATCCAATCCAATCCAAATAGCAGCCCACTGCCTACAGACCAAATGGTAAAGCAGCTGAAATTGGACTGTCGGCCAGGCAGGTATTCCACCATATTACAGCTCAAACCATTCCTTTGCTTGTCAGCTCATGTTGCATTTGACAGGGGATTGGGGTTGTCATCACATATGAGAACATAAGACGACCTTCCCTGCCTTGGGCCATCTTGTCTGCCCCCAGCCTCTGCCTCCACCTCTGAACCCCGGGTTCTGATCCCAGGGAGCGCTGTGGCCTGGAGCCGAAGCTGCAGGTGCCCTGAGGCCACACACACACTCACATGCGCACACTCTGCTGAATGACTCGGATCCAGGTGCTCCGATCATCCCGGGATGCCGTGTGGACCTCATACATCTCAGGGGGGGCCGCGCTGATCAGAAACATCCCTTTCTCCTGGTTGGCAATGTCCCGAACGATGAGATTCTGCAGTGATATCACCGAGGGCTTGTCCTGTCGGTCAGGGAAAGGAAGGAGTAAGCCTGGCGATCCCGGCCCTTGGGTACCTGGATGCTCTTCAGTTCTCCCGGAATACACAAAGGGTGGAAGAGCCCACCGACAGTCCAAGTTAAGAGCCCTGGCTTTGGTGCCAGCCAGAGAGGACCTCGAAGCACATGTGGCCCTGGACAATTTAATTAACTTTAAGCTTTACTTTTCTCACCTACAAAAAGGGAGTATTAATAAACCAAAGACCTCATATGCATATATGCAAATACATGGACACAGACAATAGGGTGGTGAGGCCTGGGGCAGGGAGTGGGGGCGGGCTGGAGGAGGTCAGTGGGGGAAAAAGGGAATATGTAATACCTCCAACCATAAAGATTTATATTAAAAAAGGGGGGGGTATTCATTGGCCTTCCTCACAAGTGTAAAAGTGCCTGCACCCAGTAACACCTGTTAGTTATTCCTTCTTATTTTACTATAGTAACGGTTACAACCATGGCTATTTCAGGGTTCTTTCGGACTCAGGGAGGAAAGCAAAAAGGGCCTGAAACACTCGTCTGTGCTGGTTGAGAAAGGAGGTGGAAGGTCTCACCAGGGTAGGAAAGATGTACTTCTGGTCCTTCTCTTGGAGAAACACTAGCACGTCTGTCATCAGCAGCATCAGCACATCTGGCAGGGGGGCCAAGGCGGGGGCGCAGTCAGCATGAGAGGGTCCCCGCAGCGGTTTCCTCTTCCCCGAGGATCAGGCTGGCCCCATCGGGTTACAACTCCTGATCCCCCTCTTCCTGGCCTCTCTTCCCTCTGGTTGCTCCCTCCACCCGTGCAGCCCTCGCGCCTCCCCATTCTTACAGCTCAGACTGCGAGAGGGGGGAAATGTGTGTGCTATCGGGCAAAACAGCTTCTTAGGCTAGAAGAGACCATCAGGGTTTACCCAACAGCTTTAAAGAAAAACCTCCGTACCCAAGTGATACAGGTTTGGTTTTGTTTTTAAAATATTTTTTTTTTTATTGATTTCAGAGTGGAAAGGGAGAGATAGAAACATCAATGATGAGAATCATTGATCGGCTGCCTCCTGCACAACTCACACTGGGGATCGAGCCCCCAACCCAACCCAGGCAGGTGCCCTGACCAGGAATTGAACCATGACCTCCTGGTTCATAGGTTGATGCTCAACCACTGAGCCGCACTGGCCAGGCTATGCAGGGTGTTTTTTTCTCTCTCTCTCTTTTTTTCTTTTTTTTTTTTTAATCAAGGTACATGCCCTTGACTGGAATCAAACCTGGGACCCTTCAGTCCACAGGCCGATGCTCAATCCACTGAGCCAAACCGGTTAGGGCATATGCAGGTTTCTTAACCTGGAGTCCACAGACCCCCTACAATGTCCACTGCTGGGCTCCAGAGGCTCTGCAAACCGTCTGAAGTTGCATAAGCAACTTTGCATGTTAATATAACATGTGTTTTTCTGGGTGAAAGGGTCCAGAGAATAAAACGGATTCCCAGAGCAGGAGGGGCCCACCCTTTTTCAACCTTTCAGCTTTATGTCTAACACCTAATAATATATGACCTTTTGGAAAGTTGGACCTAAATTCCCCGTGCCCAGCGTACTCCCACTTCTCGTTTTGTGCTGGGCCGGCAGGGGGAACGTTGGGCTCCTTATCCATCTCTCTCACAGTTGAGCAATGCCATCCGCTTCCACTCCAGCAGGCCCCCCTTCACGCCCCTCCTCTGCCCCACTTTCTAGGCCCTCAGAGCCTATGAAGTCCTGCACTTTAAGACAGCGGAGAGAACAAAGGTCAAGTCCATAAAACTCAGATGTCACGAAAGCACGCACTTGCCCGGCCAGCATGGCTCAGTGGTTGAGCATCGACCTATGAATCAGGAGGTCACGGTTCGATTTCTGGTCAGGGCACAGGCCTGGGTTTCAGGCTCAATCCCCAGAAGGGGGCGGGCAGGAGGAAGCCAATCAATGATTCTCTCTCATCATTGATATTTCCATCTCTCTCTCCTTCTCCCTTCCTCTCTCTAAAATCAATAAAAAATATTTTTAAAATATAGCACACACTCACTCTTTTCCCTTGGAGATCTTATTGAAGTGTGGGCACACAAAAGGGGCAGGCATTTGCTAAATGCTTCACAAATAAAGATCTCCAGCCCTAACCGGTTTGGCTCAGTGGATGGAGCATCGGTCTGCGGATTGAAAGGTCCCAGGTTCGATTCCGGCCAAGGGCATGTACCTTGGTTGAGGGCACATCCCCAGTAGGAGGTGTGCAGGAGGCAGCTGATCGATGTCTCTCTCTCATTGATGTTTCTAACTCTCTATCCCTCTCCCTTCCTCTCTATAAAAAATTAATAAAATATATTAAAAAAAAAAAAGATCTCCAGTCTTTCTAATTCTAACCCCTTCACCCCAGCATAGCCTATACCTATTCTTAGCTGCTGCATGGGAGGGATGGGAAGGAGAGAAAGGGGTGAAGGAAAGTGGTTGGTGAAGACTGCAATCCCCAAGCACATGGGGATTCTGCCATAGGACAGAGGTTCAGCCAGGCTTGGCCTCAGGCAGCACAAACCAAGGCCTATTACTCTTTTCCTGATTTAGGTAGGAAAGACTTGGTCAGTACCGCCTGGGAAGAGAGCCTGGGAAAGCGTGCCCCACCCCCACACACCCCCTCAGCTCTTTTCTGCCTTCTCCAGTCTGCCCACCCTTTGCTGGGCTCAGTCCCCAGCTGTGTTCCCAAAGCTCCTGCCCATTCCCAGCCCTGGTAGCTGGGAATCCAGTGGGTAGAGCCAACTGCCCCGAGCTTATCCTATGGGTCCTGGGGTTCCTCTGTCTTCCTCATCAAAACTGATAGCTCTCCGGCACGCGCTCACAAGGACCAAAGAAACGAATAAATACTGCCCTGGCCGGTTTGGCTCTGTGGATAGAGCGTTGGCCTGCAGACTAAGGGGTCCCAGGTTTGATTCTGGCCAAGGGCACATGCCCGGGTTGTGGGCTCGATCCCCAGTAGGGGGCGTGCAGGAGGCAGCCGGTCAATGATTCTCTCTCATCATTGATGTTTCTATCTCTCTCTCCCTCTCCCTTCCTCTCTGAAATCAATAAAATATATATTTAAAATGAATAAATAAATTTTAAAAAAAGAAAAGAAACGAATAAATACTGATAAAGTCCCTGATTGGTCCGTAAAGTTAAACCCAGACTTTCTCTGCAACAGAGATCATGCTAATTCCTCCCACCAGGCCTCCCCTGGGTGTACAGCTGCAGAGAGAGATGTAAGGGCCGAATGCTCCTCCCTCTCCATCTCTGACTGCCCGCGCCCGCTTGGCCTGCGAGGTGACCACTGACCTTTGAAACGGCCGGTCGCAGTCTTCCAGAGCAGGCAACCGTCGTGGATAAGCTTGCGCCGCAGAAGCTCCTCTCGGCCGAAGGGGCCCTTGCCAGGCACCGGCGTCTGGGCCCGGGGGTCCATGCGGTTGTAGATCTCCTGCAGGCGGGCCCCCTTCTCCAGCTCGTGCACATCCTGGTCCACATGGCACAGCAACTCCTTCACCAGCCCCAGAGCCGCTGTCAGGTCCTTGCGCTCCTCCTCCATCCCTGGCACCGGGTCAGCACGAGGCGGGGCTCAGCGAGCTTCACCCCAACCTCAGTTCCCTCCGAGTCGCGACCCCACCTTCAGAGGCTGCCTAGGTTCCACCTCTGCCTCTATCCCTTCCCTTGGTCCTCCCAAGCCGTTTTGTTACCCCAAATAGCCCGCCCCCCTCCTCCCCCTGCAGCCCCCGCTCACCGTGGGAATGCTGCAGGATCCGGTTAATGAGCACCGGGTACTTGGTGATGCGCTGCGTCACCAGCAGGATGCACTCCTGTACCCCATGCCGCTTCAGCACAGCCAGGCGGGTCACTTTCTACAAGGACAGAGGCAGGACTCAGGGCGAGAGCGGGGGCGGGGGGAGGGCAACACGGAGAAGGCTGGACTCGGAGCTCCGCTCCGGTGCTGGCACGGGCTCGGCCATTGACCTCATGCTGGCTTAGGTGAGTGCGTCTGGAAAATGAGATCTACTGTGAGGACCATCAGACCAAGCTCCTGCCGTGCTGCCACCGGAGGCTGGCCCGCAGGGCTGGTGACCACCTGATCTCCACGCAGGTGCAGTCCACCTGCACCCAGGAGTGGGGGAGGCTGGGTTTGGGTCCCGGAGAGGTTTGCTCACCCGGATGAACTGCTGGAAGCGTTTGTCTCGAGCATACAGCTCCTTATAGAGCTTCAAGGCCTTGGTGTGGCGGCTACAGAACTCCGAGTAGGTCTTCCGCATCTGCTCAGCGCTGGGACCGGAGAACTAGAAGTTGGGGGAGCAAGGCTAGATCAGCATCTCCCCCAAAGCCACACCTCATCCCCTGTGTGCTCTCTGGCCTCCAGCCAAACAGGCGTCTTCCTGCCTCTCCAGTTCTCCCTGGCTCTACCCCCTAGAGTTGGGGGCAAGAAATGCCCTCCTGCCCTGACCGGTTTGGCTCAGTGGATAGAGCGTCGGACTGCGGAGTCAAGGGTCCCAGGTTCGATTCCAGTCAAGGGCATGTACCTTGGTTGCAGGCACATCCCCAGTTTGGGGTGTGTAGGAGGCAGCTGATCGATGTTTCTCTCTCATTGATGTTTCTAACTCTCTATCCCTCTCCCTTCCTCTCTATAAAAAACCAATAAAATATATTTAAAAAAAAAAAAAAAAAGAAATGCCCTCCCTAACCCTGGCCAGTATGGCTCAGTTGGTTGAACATCATCCTGTGTACCAAAAGGTCACCGGTTTGATTCCCGGTCAGGGCACATGCCCAGGTTGTGGGTTGAATCCCCGATTGGGGTGAGTATAGGAGGAAACCAATCACTGTTTCTCTCACACATAGATGTTCTCTCCTCCCTTTCTCTCTCTCTCAAATCAACAAAAACATTAAAAAAAGAAAAAAAAAAGAAACGCCACTCCAGTCACACCGCCTTTTCTCACCTGGCTAATGAGCAGGTCGCCCAAGCGAGGGATGATGAAGTTCCGGGTGCTGCCAGGGCACAGGGCCTGCCGCCGGCGCTCTAACAACTGGCTGAGGAAGCGTGTGTGGATATCACTGAGCTCGTCCACACAGGGGAACAGGCCCTGGACCACTCCCGGCTCCAGCTGTAGCTCTTCCAGCATCCCCGTGCGAAAGAGGCGGGTCATGATCTTCAACGTCCGCACATGGTGCAGCTCCGTCTGGATCAGCTCTGTGTGGACAACAGGACATCTGGCCTCTGCCTTGGCATGGCCACAATTGGTGGGACCTCGGTTGGGAACCTCAGAGCACTACGTGAGGCTTGCAAAGCCCCTTCCAGATCAACATTCTGCATGAGTATGATCGATCGTAGGTCATTTTCTAATCGTTTTTTGTCTTTATGATTGTCATCTGAAGTCGTAAGCTGCTTTAGGGCAAGGACCATGTATTTGTCTACATGTCTAGGTTTCCCACCGTCCCTAGCATGGTAATGGGCATGAAACAGGCCCAGAGTACAGACTAAGAATTGACTAGAATGAAGGGATAAAGACAGAGCCTTGGAGACCAACAGTCCCTCGTGGCAATCTGTGGGGTGCCAGGCAGGGTCTCGGAGACCAATGGGGTCAGAGGGGGGGATCTTGAGAGGTGGGGACTGGCAGAAGGACACCAACAGACAGGACCTAGCGAAGGCGGAGGAGTCTCAGGGTGGTCTGGGCTCACCATAGATGACATCCTGTTGCTTCATCACCTCCTTTTTATGCTGCTGCAGGAAGCTGCTATCCACAGCAAGGCTCCAGGAATCGGCTGCAAAGTCCTTCTCGTCCATCTCAAAGTCACTCATCAGCTCATTGTAGATGACCTCTGCACCTGGACATCAGTGGAGGCAGCAACTCAGAGCCAATCCCCGAGGTCCTGGGCCCTTCTCTGGACCCCCTCCGGCTCTGCCATTCTGGGCCTGCCCACCAGCCCCTCCTCTCCGGGTGTCCCCAGGCCCCACATGGTCACCTTCGTCGATGAGGGACTCCACCGATAGGGTTCGGTTCCGCATGTTGAGGGAGTCTGTGGACTGGGAGAGGATCCGGCGCAGGCCCAGTGGAGACTCATCGTTGAAGTGTCTGAGGGAAGCGCGGGTCGGCTGCATCACTCCAACGCCGGCAAGAGAGCCCTTCCCAGGCGCGGAGCCGAAGCCGGGACCCGCGAGGCAGTCACCCCCAGGGCTCCTTACCTGTCTGACTAATCCTGAACCCAGGCGTGGCAAGGACCTCTCGCCCGCTGGTCCCCACTGCCACCTTCTCTGCCTACCCGGCTCCCCTTCCCCCTGCAGAGGCTCACCCAGCGATGTTGGTTGTGGAAACACTCTTGGCTAAGGACAAGGAGGAGCGGCCTCGGCGGGAGCCCAGCAGGGACTGCCGGAAGCTGTCGGAGGGGTAGATGGCGGAGCTCGGGCGCTCCCGCGTGGTGGCTGCGGAGGGGACACGGAGCAGGCGAACGTCAAACGCACGCGGTGCCTGCCCAGGAACCAGGCCTCCCAGGCTCCTCCACGGAAAGGCAGGCCTCCTCTCCCACCCACCCTTCGCCCACTCTAATCGAAGGAAGATGCTAACAGCGGTGCTGCCTTACATTTGTGCAATACTTTTCACACACAAAGAGCTTTTCTTGTCTCAACCCTTCCCCTCACCATGCCTATGAGCAAGCTGGAGCTCAGAAAGGGTCTCAGCCTTGTCCGGGGTGACTCAGCCAGTGGATGAGCAGGGACTCACACCTGACTAAGCACCGTGCTCTTCCTGTTCCACCAGCGCGGTCTGAACGGGCACTTGGCCGCTGCCACCAACACCCAAGGGCAGCGTAAATAATAACCATAATAGTACGGGTGTGAGCAGGTTCAGAGGGCCAGCCATCCCACGCCCTCGCGCCCCTGGGGTTCTGTCCTGCCCCTAAGCCAGAGAGTCTGCACATCTCACCACCTGCTTCCGATTAAGGGGAGAAAGGTGCTGCGCCAGGGAACACATTCGAGGGGAGCAGCAGAGCCCGTGGCCTGCAAGGCCTGGGGCCCAGGGGCCCCTGGGGGCTCCTGCACCCCCTCGCTACTCACTCTTACTGCGGAGTGACACAGACTGCAAGGCAGTGTTGTTCTTCAGCAGGGCCGCTTTCTGTTGCTGTGGGACAGAGGGCGAGAGAGAGACACCAAGGACAGCTGTCACCCAGGCGTCACTCCCATAGCACAGGGCAGGAGCTGGGCAGCTGGCCCCCTCGGGAGAAAGCTGGCAGGACGGCTACCATCCTCAGGGTGGCTGAGCCCAGTGCCGGGGAGGTATGTCTATAGCAATAGGCTGGCCCGCTCAGGCCTGAGGTCTGGGGTGGAGGGTCTGGGCTGCCCCACGGTGAGGAGAGGGGTGGAGGAACACAGGGGAGGGGATGAATGAAAAAGGCATGAGGGCACCGCACACTCGCTACCCTCTCCCCCAGCCCTCGGCCCTCCCTGCCATCTCACCTTCTGCTTGACCTTGGTACAGTTGGCGAGGGTGTCTTTACAGCGGTTGTGGATAGTCACATTGCAGGCTGGGAGGGTGGGGTAAAGAGGGTGAAGGGAGGGCCGGGTGGTACAGGAGGGGGCACACCCATATGCCGACGCCCATCTCCCCTTGGCCACACAGTCTCAGAGACTGTCCTCCCTTCCCAGGCTTCTCAACCATCGCCACACCCCAGCCCCTCTCCTCCCGCCTCCTCCTTCCTTCAAGCAGGAAATTAATTTAGGGGCACAGGTGTTGACCACAACTACGTAATCAGGGCAGCAGGCTCAAAGGTGACCTGAGGGGTGGACTAGAGGGAAGAAGGGGTTACTGGCTGCCAGATGAGTTCAAGAAGCACAAAGGTGGTTGAGAACGACAGATGGAAGAGAAGACGCCCACGGAAGCGAAGATGGCACAGGAGCATCTGGGAAGGGGACTAGGGGCCGAGGGGAGAAAGGAACATGCCCTGAGCATCTCGTCAGTGTCCCAGATTTATGTGGTCCTAACAACCCTTTGCGGTAGACTCAGTTCTCCTTGTTTTCCAGATGGGGAACCTGGCCTAACGAGGTTAGATCACCTGCCAGAGGTCATATAGCTAGAGGTAGAGCCGGGATTTCAACTCCGGTGTGCCCGAGCCTTCCATGGAACCACACGCCTGCCCATGAACTCTGCCCAGGCCTACGCAGGGTGAGGGCCGATGGACCCAGTGGTAGAGTGGGGCTGGACCCAGCCCTGCCCTTCCCTCCACTGCTTGCCTCTGCACTGCTCAGCTCTGCAGGCTCTGCCTCCAGTCAATCTGCCTTCTTCTAGGCCCAGGAGTCCTGTTCTCTAACTGAGGCGAACCTACAGCGCTCACACTCCATCTGCTTCTCCCCCGTCACCCACCCCACACACCTGGCCATGGGGTAGAAGAGGCGAGGAAAGGAAGAACAGCCCAGCCCAGCACTGGAACCACGGCTGTCCCTTTCCCCCGACATGCCCTCAGCCCTTGTTCCTCTCCAGCTTCCCCTCCTCCATCCAACAACACCGGAAATTCTGCTAACTCCTTCAGACAATACCCAGCACCACGCTCACTTCCACAAATACAAGGCAAGCAGGGTGGGGCAGGGGGGCAGACAGAAGTGGGGGCAGGGGCTGCCCCCACCCCCCAGGAGCTCCCTTCTCCTATATCCCTAGCACCCAGTGTCTCTGGAGCGAACCTCCGCTTTCCACCTGCTCTCAAAATAGCACTTGCAGGCTGCCCGCCTCACCAGTTCCCCTGGCAACAAGCTCGGGATTGGGAATTTTGTCAGGTCTCTAGAGGGATTTAGATCGGGGTTCCCTCCTCATCCTCATCACTCCAAGCAGAGCATCGAGGAAACAGTGGTCCTTTCTGGGGTTCCTTCCCCAGTTCCTTAGGGATTTAGGGCTACAGCCGTTGTCCCACTCACCAGCAGCAGGTCCCAATACCTCAGGCCTGCTCTGATCACAAGCAGCTCTTTGCCATAAATTGGGGGTGGGGGGGTGGAACAAGGCAGGAGCCCTCTGCATAGGCATTTTGGAGAAGGAAGAATCATACTTCCTAAATACAGGCTGCCTTCCGATGTAGGTGAAGGTCAGGACGTCTAACCCTCACCCCCCAAAACACACACATCCTTGCCGTGTGCCCTCTCTCCACCGTGTAGTCAGTCAGACCAGAATGTTCGACAGAGGGTCCTAAGCCCGTCTTCTGCTTCAAGCTGCAGACATTTCAGGCCCCACCCACAATCAATAGAAAGGGAGCGGCCAGGGGCCCCCGGAGTCCTGAACGTCCAGTTCTGCCCAGAAGATAGGCAGAGCCAGCTGCAAGTTCAGTAGCTTGCCACCAAGCTCCCCTCGCCTGCCCCCAGTCAGACCAGAATGTGCGACAGAGGGTCCTAAGCCCGTCTTCTGCTTCAAGCTGCAGACATTTCAGGCCCCACCCACAATCAATAGAAAGGGAGCGGCCAGGGGCCCCCGGAGTCCTGAACGTCCAGTTCTGCCCAGAAGATAGGCAGAGCCAGCTGCAAGTTCAGTAGCTTGCCACCAAGCTCCCCTCGCCTGCCCCCACCTGCCCTCACATGCATTCCTGCTCCTGCTCCAATCAGTTCCCCAGCTGTTCAGGGAGCCGGGGACACCCAGAGGATGACAGCTGCACTGGGAGCCATCCTGGTCTCCCCCCCCCCGCTCCCAGATAGTCCTGCTTGTGCCACAGTCCGACTGCCACCACCCCTCGGTGGGAGGAAAGGGAGCAAGCATCTGGCCCTGGCATTTGGACCCAGCTGGGGCTCTGCGTGGAGAGTGACCCCTATGGATCCAGAGCAGAAAGGACAGATGGGAAGATGAGAGTCAGAGTGACATTCAGGGTCCAACTTACTTGGGCAGATGAGGGCCTCCTTGGCTGTGATGCTCTTGTTACAGGCATAGCACATGGTCATGCCCGAAACGGAGATGGTGGTGAAGAGGTGCCCGTTGGTATAGCGGGCATCCTTGGCTTCCTTCATCTTCTCCTTTTCCCGGGCCTGTGGAAGGGGTGAGAGAAACACTCAGTGAGGCTGGAAAACGCCAGAGTGCCGGCAGAGTCCAGAGAGACAGGCCGGGGAGGAATCCTGCCTAGGGATGCCGGAAAGACGCCAGCGCCTACAGCAGAGCCTGCTGCAGCTCTCAGGCCAGCCCCGGGGACCGGCTGGCCCTGACCCACCTGGCCCCTGCGGCTCGGCTGCCTCCGGTTGCCACTCATCTCCCTGGTCTAGCCCTCGGCGTCCTCACTCCACCTTCCAGCCCTAGCTCCGCTCGCCCCCGAGCTGCTGAGCTCTTCTCTGTGCCAGAGGAATATGCGCAGAGAGGAGGGGAGAGCAGGCGAAGCAGAGGATGCCAGCTCACCAGCGCTTTCAGATCTATGGGAGTTAGCTCCTCTTATAACCATGACAACCGGTGTTGGAGTCACTGTCTCTGTGGCAGTCACAGTGAGGGGGGGGGGGGAAGGTCCCCTTATTAGATTGGCTGAAGGGGGCAGAATGCCTCCACTGCTACCCGCAACCCAGAGTCAGGGTCCCAAACCTCTGACTTCCACACACACTCAGCCAAGTACATGGGGCCCAGGGGCAGGAGGCAGCGTGTTCTCCTCCGCTAACCCTGAGGTAGGAGGAGCCTGGTTTTGGCCTTGGGTCACTCCTCCTCTCGCTCTAAGTGGGGGGGAGGAAACTCGGCTGGCTAGGTGTCGTTCTTGGCAGGAAGTCTCTCCTGCGGTCTAACTTTTATCCTTCTCATACAACCCTCCAAAACCTAGATGGCTCCCTCTCCCACTCCTCACCCAGTTAGTCTCTCCTATCCGAGGAAGTTCCTTCTGACATCTACCCTCCATCCTCCAGCTGTCACATCCGTTCTTCCGGCTCTGGGCTCCCCTGAGATGGGGCACACTGAGCCCTCCCTCAAAACTTCAGAGGCTGGCTGTTCCCATCTCTGCTCTCTCCTCCCACTCCCCTCTGACCTCTGGACCCCTTTTCTGACCCCCTCAAGCCACTGAGCTTCCTGAAAGCCTGACAAGGGGAGGAGATGATACCATCCTTCCCGCCTGCTCCAGGGCCTCCTGCAGCAGCCACTCTCGGAGGAAGTAGAACAGGAACAGCCGCTAGGACCACCCTCTGCTTCCTAGCCCCTCAGAACCCAGTGGATCATTTGCTGAAGCCGAGGGTATGAGCCCCGAGGTGGAGGACGGTGGTGGGGGCCCTGGGACAGAGAATCAGAGCTCAGGGGAGAGCCCTCCGGCTGGACCTCAGGCCCAAGCCTGAGTCCAGTCACTCCCAGCTCCTGCCACACTAGCAGTTAAGAGGTGGGGGAGGGGCAAAGACACCCTGGTCTGGTGCTTAGGGTAGAAAAGGGAAGTGTGGCAGGGCTGAGTCAACACCACAGGGGCCAGAGGGCACCGGGCCACAATGCCCTAGCTGTCTCCAGACTTCCTGGTGGCCCGGATCCTTCTCTCTCCTGCCTCCCTTCAGAGCTCCAGGTTTGTCAGATGGGCAGAGACCAGAGGTCTTAAGGTCTCTTCCTACCCAGATCTTCCATTTTCCTTTGCTCCTCTCCTCTCCTCCTCCTCTCTTTTCTCTTCCTGTCTCCTGGTCTCCTTTCCATCCCATGCCCCCCTCCTCTCCCCTTCCACCTAGGCCTGGTGAAGGAAGCTGGCCAGCCTCTAACTCTAGCCTCCAATGTTCCAGGCCTCCCTTTCTTTATTCTGGTACCACCTACCTGGACCACTAGAAAATTCTCCCTTCGGTCTAACCTCCATCTGCCTGCTCTATGGAAGATAAAACCCTGCTCTGAATAACAACCTTATAGGACCTCAAAGACCAAGTCCAAATCTCTTTCTCACTGTCATACACTCCGTTCTCTCCTCCTTTCCTGCCCGCCCAGGCTTCTCTGTGACACAAATAAAAAGTCTGAGCACTTACTATGTTTGACTTAAAAGCAAGCAAACAATATTGAATGTCAATTATAATTGAAATATTTTTCATAAAAGCAAGCAAAAAAAATAAATATCAATGTAATAATCATATTAAAAAGAGCAACATGTCTAAATCAAGGTCAATTCCAGAACAGACAATGGTACAGATCGGCCCTAATGATGCCACCACTCTCCCTCCCCTCACCAGAGTGCCCTCCACTCTTCCGCCTCCAGGAGCAGCCACCTGGGAAGGAGGTGGAAGGAGGAGGGAGTGGACTGGGGCTGCCAGAGAATGGGGTCTCCAGCGGCCCACCCTCTCTGGCATCAATGCCCCATCGACAACCCAGGCACTCTGTGCCCAGGCTTCCTTCTTGAGCTCCCAATACTCACCCTCTCTCCCAGTGACCCCCTCTCTAGGTGGGCCAGCAGCGGGCAGCAGCCACAGCAACAGCACATCCCAACATGGGCACTGCCCAGCAGCAAGCCGCCCTGGCACTGCCTAGCGCTATTGTCCTGGAAGCAGACTCTGCCCGCCCCTGGGCTTAGGCTGGTGAGGATAGGAGGACACTGGGCCTGCTCACCAGGGTGCCTGCTCCAGAGAGGAGTGAATGGTGGGTTTGGTTCTTTGTCCTACTCTTTTCCAGGTATTCTTATCACATTGGTCTCCCATTTAACCACCTCCCAGCAGGACGGCCCTTCACCTCCACTCCCCATTCTGTCCACCAAGAAAAGGGCCCACTCCTCCATAATCTACAACACCCACCACCGTTCCTGCTTGATCCAATGCTCTGCGGCCCCGTATCTAGAGTCATTCTTTCTCATAAACCCACCTGGGAAGTCTTTCTTGCTACACAGCCTTCATCTACTGCTACATCAAGGATAAAGTGAACAAAGCACCCGGCACAATGGCTGGTATACAACAGGCACTCAATACATGTTGGGAAAGAAGGAAAGAAAGGAAGGATAGGTGGACAGACGGATGGACGGATAGATGGACACCAAGACAAAGGGTCCCAGCAGCACCCTCACCCCTGCTCTAGGGTCCCTACAAAGGGTCGCAGCACCCTCACCCCTGCTCTAGGGTCCCTCACTCCTTGTCAGAGGTTCAAAGCCTTCAGTCTCCTCTCCTCATTCCTCCTCTTTTTTCTTCCTGGAGGGTTCCCAGCTCTTCTCTCCTCTTATTTCCTTTGAGCTTAGACCTAGAGGCCAGAAGGCCAACCCAACCCTTCCTTCACTGTCATCCAGATCTCAGTCACTTTGTGGGGGAGAAAAGACGAGGTGAATAGCAGAGGGTATTGTGGCTGGTTGCCCAAAAACTCAAAGGCAGCAGCTGTCTCCCCACTTCTCT